TCAACAATAGGTGCATAGCCGTGGAACATACAATTCAAATAAATCGAACAACCATTGTCCTTTAAATTGAATTCATAACTCTGACTCATCAAGCATGAGGCAGAAATAATGTTCCGACTAAGTGCAGGAATGTAATAACAATTATTTCCAAAATAAATCCAGAAGGAAGCTGGAGCTGCATCGTGCCGACCTCCAACGTAGCAACTCTTGCTTTATTGCCGACCCTGATGTCAATCTCCCCTTATGCCACACGCCTAGTTCTTACCAGCCCCTGCATCGAGTTGCAAATATGAACAACCGACCCGGTATCAAATACCCAAGAGCTACTAGGTATGTCAGCAAGGTAAATGCCTATAACATATGCAACAAGTGTACCTTTGCCTGAAGTAGCATTCCCAGCCTTCTTGCCATGCTCTGCAAGCCACTTGCTACAGTTCCTCTTCCAGTGACCAGTTTCCTTGCAATGATAGCAAATGGTCTTTGAGTCCGGTCCAGACTTCGGCACAGCGGCGGAGGTTACCATCTCCGTGCCCTTTGCCTTAGCCTTCTTCTTAGACCAACTCTTCTTGAACTTAGCCGATTTCTGCACCATCAACACTTGATGCGTGCCTTTCTTAATATCCTGCTCTGCCTCTTTAAGCATCCCATGCAATTCAATGAGCTTCTTATCCATGCCATGCACATGATAGTTCGAGATGAACGTCCCATAGCTGGGCGAAAGAGAACCCAGAACTGCATCAGTAGCCAGCTCATCCAAGAGCAGGAAGCCCAACCGATCCAAAGCTTGCACATATCCGATCATCTTGATCACATGCGGGCTCAGTGGATCACCTTCATTCAGCTTACAATCCATCAAGGATCGCCAGATGTTGAACCTTTCGGTCCTACCCTGCACCTGAAACATGCTCTTGAGACTTTCGATCATATCGAAAGCCCCAACGTCTTCGAAATACTGCTACAAATCGGGCTCCATACAAGCCAACATGAGGCAGCTGATCTTGTTTGATTCATCAACGAGTTTCTGGTAGGCATTCTTGGTTGTGGTACTAGCATTATCGGCAGGTTCCTCTGGAACCGGATCCTCTAGAACATGTTCCTTTTTATCATGCTTGAGAACATTTCTCAAATTTCTATACCAGGTAGTAAAGTTTGTTCCATTCAGTTTATCCTTTTCCAGAATTGATTTCAATGCAAAGTTGGGTTGAGCAGGTGGTGCCATTGATCTATAACAAAAAAATATGCAATCACTAAGCAATGTGTTTATGTAGAGTAATTCTAGCCTTAAATAGAAATACTCCCGCTGAAGTCAGCATCCCTCCGCAAACTCTCAGTGATTCAGGATCCGACTAGCACATGCGACTAGTGAGCTTTAGCATCACTGCTAGACAACATGCCTATCCGGTAAGCAACTCCTTGCTAATCGTATCTCTATACGACTCCTGTCGGTCGGGTAGGTATCTCATACCCCGGCTCCCGACCTCTTTTTCCACAAGGCCCAAAACCATTTTGATAGCCTTGTCAAGTCAACCTAATGCAGTGCATGTCTGTGTCCGACACGAACCCTTCAGTTCAAGGACACCTAGCAGCACCACAATTTTATGAGCCCACTACTAGACATACTTGACGTGCGAAGGTGCAACATCGGGGATGGCAATTCGCTTGATATTCATGAGGGATCTTTCTATCATTCTAACATGCATAGAAAACAAGGAAGCATAACAATCACAAATAAACACATATTGTGAAATAGTATGGCTCCTTCATGGATGTTCTTCCAGGTCGGCTCCAACTCCGATGACCATTTAGAAACTCCATCTTGTTTGTCACGCCGGGACGCCAAGCCACCAACCTGATCTCTATTATCCAACTACTACAACTAGTAATGAATTTTACATAGAGTCACAAGTCAACACGCAGGTCGTTATACAATATAATAACAGCACTTTGGCTCCTGCCGGCTGACAAACATGACACGCAGGCCATGTATAATTTACACACATGCATCACATACACATGAGCCATACTATTCACATCAAACCCTGCAAAAAAAGTTATGCATAGAATCGTATTCTATCGGTTTGAGTGATCGTGTATGAAATACAAGGCACTACGCACACGGCGGTCCCCGATGGCAGATAACCGACCGGTAGGGGTAGATCGTGTCACGACCTCATCGATCCCAATCAACAGAAAATATAACCACATCGATCCACATGTGCAGTTGATCTCATCAACCGTGCACACAGCCAATCTTATCAATGACAACAGATCTCATCTATTGCCTCCTCATATCTAATATGCATATGATCTGAATCTAAATCCTATAACCTGGCTCTGATACCACTGTTGGGATCTACGGTAGGGTGCATCGACTGCAAATTAAAATTTCCTACGCGCAGAACAACCAAGAACATGCTACGGGAGATGGATCACAGTTCGTTACCACTAGACGTGTAGTGTCGTGCAGCAGAAGAAGAGTTGGGGCAGCGCGTCCGCGTGGATCGTCTCCTCCTCGTCCGATCTCCCTCGTACAACCGGTGGTCGGTTCCCACGTACAGGTTCGCCGGAGCGGCACAAGCGCACCGCCTCTAATGGTATCCGCGCGTGCAGGAGGAACGTCATGCGGCGGACTGCTAGGTCCGATCACACAACAGTCGACGAGTGGAGGTGTCTATTCGTAACACATGCTAACGCTAGTGACAACGCCGAAGCCATCAACCGCGTGAGTGTGCGGCACCTCCACTATATATATAGGCGTCCGTCACGGGCTCAACACTTGGGCCTCGCACGGACCCTAAAGCCCATAAGTCTACTCGGCCACAATTCGAATACAGTTCTGATCACATCCGACCAGTGTCCTCGGATCCGACCTCGTAGGTTCCTTCCCTTAAGCGCGCGACCCCTTAGGTTCAAGTTGGCTTGATCGCAGTTCGGATCACCTCCGAACTGCACAGTTGGTAGCGGCCTCTAGCAAGGCATGCCGAGCACCAAGCAGACCATGAAGCTGGTTAGCGAACATGTACATCACACTTCCATTTCCTTTTGCCACACGATATATGTTATCGAGCTCAAGGCGAGTCTGTCATCCTTGTGCTAGCCCGACCTCTTTCTCGTTCCAGTGATGCCGACCACAAACCGGATTATCTCATAATCCTTGTCGCATGGCCATGCTTATCCTGGTCGGATCACACGAGGGGCCCAGAGTATATATCTCCTGATCGGAGGGGCAAATCCCTTCTTGCTCAACCACGTCTCGCAGCATGGTTCTGGATAAACCCGAAACCTACCTTTATAACTACCCAGTTACGGAGTAGTGTTTGGTCGGCCCAAAGCAAGTCTGTCACCATCCCGAGTACATGCGTCAGCTCAGGTCTTAGGACATAGAACATATGTTGTACTAGAGACTCACAGATGACATATCGCCGCGTCTCATAGTTGGGGCTGTCCGACTCGGACCTTATCTCGACTCGGATCCGACTACGTCGAATCCGACCAGATCCTTCCAAGTCCATATTATCCGGTTAGCATCCAACGCTCCATGGCTAGTGAGACCAAGCCATCGACCGTGTCATATGCTAGTCTAGTTGGCTGCGCGTCCACACAGCCCTTTCGACTAGGGACCTTTTAGGACAGTCATCATACAATGCATAGTCCCACAAACAAGTCACGTACTTGCTGATACACATCATTGATAATGTCCAAGGACTATCTTTATTCATAAACACATAGGAAATATCATCATACATGATTGCCTCTAGGGCATATCTCCAACAGTACAAAATCGTGAGCTTCTAAATTTGATCTACCATCTCATTTAGAAGAAGTTTATGATGCTCTTCTTGGGCATGATCTGACACCAAGACAAGAGGACGCTTCTCCAAGATCCGATCTGACATGGATCTCAGTTCTTTACTTTCCACTATGGCATGATCTAATATTCAGACCATAGGGAACTATTTTGGAACTGAGGGATCATAGCGTGATCTTCATATTTACCCTGCAACTAGAACCCATGTCTCATTGGGTCATAGGTTCTTCCCTTAAAATCGAAGGTTCAGAAGAACACAAGTTGTAAAGTTTGAACATCTTAAAATGTACTCCCTCTGTCTGTAAAGAAATACTTCCTCAGTTCCACGATGTAGTATGTATAATTAATCAGAAAAATCAAAGTTTACAAATTTTGACCAAGTTTCTAGAGAAACACGTATACATATAGAATATCAATACATATCACTAGATATATGACAAGACGTATTTTCATATTGTATATACCTGGTATTGTAGTTATAAACGTTTTTCTCTGCAAACTTAGTCAAAGTTTGTAAAATTTGATTTTTCAGAAAATTCATATGCACTACATTACGAAACTGATGGAGTATAAGAGTGTTTAGATCACTTCACAGAGGGAGTAGTACCTGGAGTGAAAGAAAATGGAGACCGGCCTGGCTTCATGACCGAGCAAGTAGATCAACCTTCTGTGCTCGCGACTCAGATTACTGCATTCGGCATCACAAGTGATACCAGATCTGTTCAGAAACCAACGGGGGCCAGTTGTGCACTTTCTGAACTTGCATCTGGAGAAGATATTGCTGCCCGCCTCGCATGGGCTGATCCACCCTGACCCAGCTCACACTTTCCAACAGCATGTCGGCAATACAAAATTGCATCTAAAGGTAAGGCACGGGCAACTATCCACCGAGAGTGTGCTCATCTGATCGTTGACCCAACCTCCCTATCCCACCCACTCTTTTATGGCTTCACTTTCGCAGCCAGGACATTGCTGATCATGGACATTGCACTAGCAGATAAATATTCCCGGCGCTTGTCTTCTCCTGCTCCAACCCAATCCCAAATTCGCATTGGCTTCTTCTTCTTCCATATACAACTCTACTCTGTGCTCTTCACTCTGTCTACTTCCATTTTCAAGAATTCATACTCAGATCCTGAGTCTCTGAGCAGAAGTATCACTGGAGGGAGCTAGCGAGCTAGCTAGCCGCACGATGGCGATGGCAGGTGGGCGTATTGTGACGATGTGCATGGCGGCTGCGGCGCTGCTGGTCTCTTTGACCGGCGGCGCGGGCGTGGCGGCGGCCTCAGCGAAGGAGCTACGGCAAGGCTTCTCGGCCGCCCACGACACGTCCTACTCGCACTTCCAGCCGGTGCTCACCGACCCCACCGGCGTCTTCGCCCTCGGCTTCCTCCGCGTCAACTCCACCACGCTCGACCTCGCCGTCCTCCACCTCCCTTCCGCTTTCCCCCTCTGGCGAGCCATGCCGGACCGCCCCGCGCCGTGGTCCGCGGCCGCGTCCCTCTCCTTCAACGGCAGCCTGGTGCTCACAGACGGCGCCACCAACCAAGTGATCTGGTCCACCGCCGCGGCGGCCGGCGACCGCGCCGTTCTCCTCAACACGTCCAACCTTCAGATTCAGAGCAGCGGTTCGCCCGTTGCCGTGTGGCAAAGCTTCGACTACCCTTCGGACACCATTGTCCAGGGGCAGAACCTCACCTCATCGGCGGCGCTTCACTCCATCGACCAGCGATTCGCCATGCGGCTCGGGAGCAACTACTTCGCGCTCTACGTGGAGCCGCCACCGTTGTCGTCGGGCAGCGTCGCCGCCGCCATGTACTCCAAGCACACGGCTCTGGAGGCCAAGGCCCGGATCGTGGCCGGCGGCGGCCCGATATACGTGCGCGTGGAGCCTGACGGTTACCTCGGCATGTACCAGAAGGAGGGAGCCCCCGCCGACGTCATGTCCTTCGACACCTTCAACCACGGCGTCCGCGCTCTCCGCCGCATGACTCTCGAGCCCGACGGCAACCTCCGCGCCTACTACTGGGACGGGTCCCGGTGGGTGCTCGACTACACCACCATCACCGACTCGTGCGAGCTGCCCACCACCTGCGGCGCCTACAGCGTCTGCGTGCCGCCCAGCGGCCGGTGCGCGTGCCTGGCCAACGCCACCGACGGCCCGGGCTGCGCCGCCCCCTCCGTCGGGAGCGGGCTGTGCGGCACCACGGGCGGCGAGGTTGGCGGGCTGTACTCGGAGGTGCGGAGACACGGCGTGGAGCCGGCGAACAAGGAGCTGCTGGGGTTCGAGCACGCGCCGTCCGCGGGAGACTGCGAGGCGCTGTGCGCGCGCAACTGCAGCTGCTGGGGCGCGGTGTACAGCAACGGGACGGGCTACTGCTACCTCATGGACTACCCGGCGCAGCTGATGGTGGCCGCCGACGAGAAGAAGCTGGGCTACTTCAAGGTGAGGAGCGTGGGAGAGGCGGCTGCGCGCGGCGGGAGGGCGACCGGCGTCAAGGCGGCGCTGCTTGCGGTCGGCGTCGCGGTGGTGGCTGCCGCCGCTGCGTTCGGGGCGTACAGGGTGTGGGACAGGAGGCGCCGTGCGGCAGCGGAGACGCGGCAGCATTTGGGCGCCGACGGTGATGGGCTCTCGCCGGGTCCCTACAAGAATCTGGGATCCTTTAGCTCCGTCGAGCTCTCCAGCAGCTTCAACTCCTTGCGGAGGTAGCCAGCCAGGATGGTGAGATCCAGCAACCAGATCGGCACGACGTACGGGAAAGATACACGGCAGCACGGGTGAGGGAAGTAGGCTCGACGGCGCCCGCTGATCGGTGAAGAAAACTAATCCGACACGGTCGGCGGTGTCTGGGCGAGAAAAAACTGCCAATCTGGTCAGGGCGGCATCTGCTGGAGGCGAACCGTTTGGTCTATGGAGACATATGTCCCTGTTATCAAATCCGTCAATAAGTGCATCGCGATTGACAGATAAAGTAGCGGTTCAGCATATACGATGTGAAGGACAAGTTCGAAAAGGGAATATACAGCAGAAGAACAGTGCTGTACTAGGCCGGGAACAGGTCTGCACAGGATCTGATAGCAGGCAAGACGCGTTTTCCATCCTGCATGCATAAATGTTGTACGGCTAGAACAATTCACCTTTTTGGAGAACCGAGATCGTTGTCAGAGACCTGTAGTCAAGGTAGCTTGGTTAGTGGCGATAGGAAAGTAACTAAATTGTCAAGTTTAGCAGCGATAGGTAGGAAATGGAAATAAGTAAGATAGTTGTGAATAGTAAGTGAAATTATATACGGAATGAATAACATTATTTTACTGAGGAGATTTTAGAAAACATATTCAGAGTTACTAACATGATGTTAAATGAAAAAAAAAACTGATGGTTTGTGAAACGACTAGCATAAAATCATTGAAAAAGTAAGAGTAATGGTTAGCAGGTTTACAAAAGAAGATAAGGCTGGTCACAATGGGGAGGAACTTAGGAGTAACATCACACACTCCAATACAACTTTGCTTATGTGTCACATATTTAATGAAGAGAGATGTGCTTGTGGTAACTAGCTAAGTTACCGGAACATCACACACTCCAAGAAACAATGAGTCTATAACCTAATAAATACATTGTTGCATGACACTACATAGATGTTTCTACCCACTGTGGAGGTAGTAACATAGTCTAGGGAAGTGTGTAAGTTGTACTAGACTATGTTCTTGCCCATTGTGACCAGTCTAATTATAATGGATTTTTTAACTGCAGTTGATAAATCTAACATTTTGGAAAAAGGGAAGGTATGTCAATTAAGTGGACTTGCATTTATTTAAAGATATTCCCAATGTGTATGATATTCTAGCAGTGACAGCGTGTTTGTATAATATGCATTCAAAAGTAGGTAGTTGGCTATCACTGAAGTAATGTTGGGGCAGTAAATATTGGTTGTTGGCTGGTGGTGAACCTTTTACCGTATCGTCGGTGCAACTGTTGGGGTAAAAGCTAGAGCCAGCATTCAGTCTATCCATTTTTTCTGAAGAGCCACCTCCTCCCAAGTGAAGCGAAGAACAACTCTGTGCCTAAAGGAGAGGGAGAAATATCAAGGTGATGGATGGAATGGACGGACTCACTTCATCTATGGTAACATATTCTCCATCTATATGTTAGATATTGTTAGACATGTAGGCCGGTCTCATGAGTAATCTGTCGAAAACTACCGTTCAGTTTGCGCTAGCAACTGGCAGAGATGACGAAGAAGCTGATGAGAAAGAGATATTCCGTGAAGATGTTTTGAGTAGTACTAGCCCGGTAGATCTTACTAAGGACTCCTCCGCATTAGAAGAGTGTGGAAGCAGAAAAGGAGCGTTCGTTGGTGCTTTGAACAAGTCCAAGGGGCATGTCAGATTCGGACCATCGGATCTGCAAAAATTGTATCTTGCACTATCTCCAGAGCAGCAGGGAATAAAAAAATAGGAATTGAAGGAGTAGAGTGGATTAACAAGATGGTGCACACAGATCTTAATCATTCAGCTTGGTTAATGCTTAATGTCATGCCTGATGACTGTGCTCTAAGAATTGGCGTAGATGATTGTGACACGGTTCATATTACAGAAGCTGCGGCAGCAAACATAACGGGTAACAGAACGGGTGGTTCAATAACTATTCCAATTTCTGAAGGTGCCCCAATGCATAGTGAAATAAAAGTTGTGCGAACCATACTGAAGCTTGCTGATGTAACTGAAGAAATAACAGTTTCTGAACTTGTTGCACTTTTGTTGGGAGAAAGTAAGAAGGGGGGGGGGGTGTGAATTAGATGAAGAAGGTGCATCACGCACAGAGAGAGCATTTGCAATGCTGTACCTTTCTGTACACTTGTTCCGGTGGAGAAAAAATGCTGTGTCAACAGGAGGAGTTCTTATATGATGGTGATACTCTATCTGGATTTGAAAGATGTCAATTGGGGAAAATATGCTATTGATGAGATAATAAGCGGTGCAAGGAAACTGAACAGGGATAATCCACTTCTTAACATCACACTACATGGGTGCCCTGCTCTGCTTGAGGTAATTTAATAATTCAATAGGTAGACTAGGTTGCTATCTTCAAATTGTGGATGTACTGACAGGATTCTGTATAACAGATTCGTTATTTCGACTCGGTGGACACTGGTTTCATTCAACTAGATCCAAAAGCTTTACCAAGGATCAAGCACTACAATAAACAAATTCTAAGTGCACTGGTGAAGGCAAACAGCAGAGTAGATGGCGGGCGTATTACATTTGGAATAATGAAGATATATGTTTCAGTATGAATAATTAATAACTTTTGTATGAACATTCTGGAAATGAACTTTTATAAAAATGATAGATATCTAGGTTTACATAAATGAACATTTCGTAGCAGCTAACATAAAAAAGCATGCTGACAGGTAAAAGGATCGATCAAGCATGCTGAGAACTTACCTTACGATTTAACAAAAGATTCATGCATGAAGGTAAAAATACTAAACCAGATTTAAGTTTATGAAATGGATTTATTATGGTATACTGAATGTTCAGAATGTGTATATAGGGGAGGAATTGGATATTTGAAGAACTAGCACAGCGGGCTGAAGGTAGGATCGATAGATCAATGAAGTTACATGCATATCTCGTGAATGAAACCAGTCTGACTGAGGAAAGGAAGAAAAAACTATTTCAGACACATAGATCAGTAGAGAAATTGATGTTGACAGTTGGAACAGTTAAGATTCTGCGTTATATTCAGAAAAACGAGGTAGAGGGGGGTGGTTTGGTAAATGAAACTGTTTCTTGTCTGGACAATGTTTTGGCTGGTAAGTAATTATCTAATTACATGTAATGTGAAATTCAATATCATACGCGCGACGGTGCTAAAATACTAAATTTGTAATCAGGGTCCGTGAAAACTTTGCGAAGAGTACCAAGAGGAAGGCAAGTCCAAGTTTAGATGAGGGGGCAGAGAAAGATAAAGGTATAGCAAATCGTTACTCTTTTCTTTGTAAGGAACCTGAATGCACTAAATTGTGTTGGCAGGGGCTATGGTGCCAAACTTGAACATGCCGTTGATGG